CAAAAATAGCAAACACACTTAAGGGGCCCCATCCAACTCACAGCAAGGCCTGGGGAAACAACAAGGTCTTCAAGGCCTTTATAGAACAGCAACAGAGTGGGAGCCAAGCAGACCAGCCACCAGCACGGCTTGTGGAGCAGAGGGGTCACATGGTCATACTGAGGCATACCCTTCACTGCTCACACCACTGTGTTCTGGACCACCTGAAGCTTCTGAATGGTTTTCATGTAGAGTACATTGCAGTAGTCGAACCTTTGGGTGACTAGGGCATGATTGTCTGAAGGGCCTCCTAATCCAGAATATGGAGCTGAGCGAAGGCTCCCTTGGCCAGAGCTGCCCCTTGTTTTTTGAGCAGGAGCTGTGAGTCCTCATATTGTGCATCATTCTTGAGCAGGTAAGTGCTACTCCATCCAAGATTATGGATGGAAAGTCCTTGGATCCAGGGGTTCCTAATATCCACAGCTACTCAGTCTTTGTAGGATTGAGTCAGAGTCAGTTCTTCCCCAACCAGGCCTGCATAGCTTCCAAGCACTCAAGAGCCTCATGTGGCCAGCCTGGAGTCATAAGGTATAATTGGGTATCATCAACCTATTGATGATGATACCAAACCCCAAACTGACAGATGACCTCATCCAGTGGCTTCATGTAGATGTTAAACAAGAGGGGAGAGAGCATCAAACCCTGTGGCATCCTACATAATAGGGGCCTAGGGGATGACCTTTTTCTGCCTGCCAACAAAGACTGGAACTCGCCAAGAAAGAAGGATGAGAACCACCATAAAACGGTGTACCCGGTTTCAAACCCGGCAGCCAATTCAAAAGGATACTGTGATCAATGGTACCAAAAGCCACTGAGATATCAAGGAGCACTAGGATGGATGCCCCACTTCTATTCCAGCTTTACCACAGTTCATCAACAAGTGCAACCAAGGCTGTCTCAGTACCAAATCCCAGCCTGAAACCTGACTGAAACAGGTCTAGATAGGTAATCATTTTTATTGTTATCATTATTAAAAATTCTGAGAAATAAATCCTTGTTGATATATCACATAGCTCCAGATCTATTTTCTGCCTACTCTTGATCGTTGTATTACCTGCTTATGATGCCAAGATGCAAAAGGATCCTCATACTTATTGTGCTCTGATGGCCTTGCGTCTTTCATAGATGGATGGAACACTTCCTGCTCCTTTTTAGATTGGTTCTTAACGCATGCTTCCTGGAAAGAAACAAGTTTTTCCTGTTATACCACATATTTATTCTTAAATATTCCTTCCCATAAAAGATGTCCCTGTTTTTCAGCTTAGATTTCTTGTAAGTTTTCCCAGAGTCATAATCACATGAATCTATGATTCAACAAAAGCAACAGAGTATGGTGGTGTTTAGAAACCAGTTTATTACAGCATAAACTTCTGTGGATTAGAAAAACTTTTAAGACAGCTGTATTAGCGTGACTAGTCCAATTTACAAGTAAGCAAACCATTGGGATAGCCACACTGTCTCTAGCATTCCAGGATGTTTTCTGTGTTTTTTCCTTCCAAACAAAAAAGTGAACTCCAATTATCCATTACTTTTTACTTTCTAAGAACATCTTTGGGTTAGGGCCCAGAAACATTCTTGGAAATAAAGATTATACCTGAGAGCAGAGCTTTCTTTTGCAGCATGTTACCTTCCCAGAAGAAAAGTTCAGGGCTGCAAAAATATGTACACCCTTACATATTTTTTATGTGGAATGACAGAACCATGAATCAAGGCAACTTGATGTCAGAGTAAAAATATCAAGATTGAACATTGACTTTCTGGAAATCAGTCAATTGAAATGGACTGGAATGGGTCACTTCTCATCAGAGGAACATTAGATCTACTGCAAACAAGAAAAATGACAGAGGTACTGGAGTAGCCATCATTATTATTGAAATTTGTTTAGGATACAATCCAAAAATGATAGAATGATCTCCATTTGAGTCAAAGGTGAGGAAATCAATATAACAGTAATCCAGGTTTATGTTCTGACTACAGATGCTGAAGGAATAGAAGTTCTATGATGACATGCAAACCTTGCTGACAAGTACTTAAATAAATAAATAGTCACACTAATTACTGGCAACTAGAATGCTAAAGTTGGAAATAATGGGAAAATTTGGCTTCAGGGTATGAAACAAAGTTGAAGATGAACTGGATTCTTTGAAGAAAATTCAATATTTAAGGCAAATATTGGATGCCAGTACTTGCATTTGAATTTATCCCTGTCTTGGAGTATGGCATTTGACAAACCATGAAGGGTTTTCCTTCTACTACTTTACCTGCTGATCCTTTTCCTTCCTTTTATGTTACTCTTCTACCCCATTTCCTGTTCTACATTACCTGCCTGGCGAATTGTTCTTTAACTTCTGGTAGGTTTCCTGATTCTTTTAAGCACTCCCTTAAACTGAAATATTGATAAGACTATCATGTTTTGGCTGATCTTGAATCATTTTCCTATTTGTCTTCAGGGCTCCCAAGTTGCTCCAGTTTAATCTATCCACAAACATGAGGTCTTCATTGATGACCTGCTGATTTTGGGCCCTTTTAGTGATTTTATAGCTAGGGTTGCTAATTTTACTTGATAAATATTCTTAGGAGCCAGGTGTTTCTGGTGGAGGAGACTGCAGGATTATTGGTTTGTGCCTTGCTTGTCTCATGCTTGATTATTATTTTAATAGTCTCCTAGCAGGTATTTCTGATTTCTGTCTTCATCCCCTTATCTTAGTCAGAACAGTGCTGCTTAAGCTTTTGTGGACCTTCCATTGTTAGTCTCAGGCCTTCATACAGTGCAGGGCTTTTCATTGGCTCCCTGTTCCAGCCAAAGCCCAGTTTAAACGAAAAGCCCTTGTGTTTAGAGCCTCTAGTCGTGGCTGTGGCTGTCTGCTCTTACATTCCTCTTAGCAGGGCTTTCTTTCAGTTCCTCGCTCCAGGGTTATAGTCTCTAAGTTATCAGTTAGGGATCTTGGTTTATAACTCTGGATCAGCTCCCTTCTTCCCTTTGTTTCTGTGGAACTGTGATGGCCTTTAATAGAGATTTAAGGACCTTTTTCTTTGATTCATGGGTTAGGTACTTATTATCAAGGATGAGGTTTTCTTAGATGTAATGTGCCTGTGAAAGACCATCAGAAAGGCTGAACAAAAAAATAAAAATAAAAATAAAAATAGAAGCTTTTGAAATGTGGTATTGGAGAAAATTTTGAGGCCTTGAAGAACAGCAAAATCATTCACAACAAATCACTCACTATTAGATGAAGGAAAAACTGAAAGCATTAATAATGAAGCTACAACCTAAACATTTTGGTACATAAGGAGGAAGCAAGTGTCACTGGAAGAAACCTAATGCTTCGAAAAATTTAAGATAATTGAAAAAGAGGCCAACAAAATACAAGGTAGCTGATTACTACTACTTATGAGATGAGCTGGAGCTTATAAGAACTCTAAGAAGCAGTTACCGGACAACAATAATCCTGGTGAGATTATGTCTATTGGGTTACAAAGAGCTGGAAGCAAATTTGGCCGGGTGGGGGGGGGGGGGGGGGCAGAGTCATTTTTTGGCCTGTGCTTTATGTAAGGGTGAAATGGTGCTTGAACTAGTTACAAATACTAATTGGCTAGAATCTTCATTTGTACTACATGTAATCATTCACACAGAATATATTCAAAGTCATCTGAATCCTGCCATGCAAATAATTTGGAATGCTGTACAGGTGGTCCCCAGGTTAAGAACACCCAGTTTAAGGACAACCCATAGTTAAGAACAGAGCCTATTGTAGCAAAATTTGAGTTAAATACACAATGATTCAAGTTAAATACACAATGGTTCGAGTTAAATTATACAGTACTACTTATACAGTATTATACAATAATATTGCCTGGCTTAAGTACAAATTCAACTTAAGGACAGAGCTTAGGAATAGAACTCATTCTTAAATTGGGGACTACTTGTATTGAGAAATCTTGTGCATCCATTAATTTAAGCTACCATATCTGGGTTGCAAGAATTCAGATGACCATTAGTTGCCAGCAGAAAGGTTGTATATCTTTGTTTCCATCTAGTGGTCATCTGGAGTTTTGTTGTTATGATATGATAACCCTACATAACTACCATCTAACACTGACAGCAACCAATGAGGTTTACCAAAATAGCAACAAAAAATCTTCAGTCCCAACTTGAACTGCTTATAATACACAAAAAGTATCAGCTTACATAAATATTTTATCTCTAAAATCTAATATTTGTTTGCAGTATATTCACAGCATGTATATTTATGAATTGCTTTTTAATTAAAAAGGAACTACTTAATATTTCATGTAGTAGCTTGCTGCAATGACCATTTGAAAGGGAGACTCATGTCTCTAAATACATTGAGAGTGCTTCCATAATTGAGCAATGGCTGTGTTATTTTCTTTTAAATCATGTTCTTTTCTGCAAAACCACAGAAGCTGGTTTTTCTAAACTCACACACTTAGTGTTTAGTCATCTTTGTCAATCTTACAAATTGAACTTTTTGAATGAGTAGATCTACAAATTCCTACAGTTTATGCCATTCTGCAAATAAGGGAATTAAGATTCTCAACTCTTTGTTAATTTTGTTTTCTTTAGCTTTATGTGACTTTCAGTCATGCTTTATGCCTGCTTTCGCTTTGGGGGCTTAAATCTGTTGGCACCCATTTATATGAACATAAATTCATTGCTAATGAGAAAAAAAGAGATTCCTGTAATGGTGGTAAACAGTTCAAAGCCACGGAGGTTTCATATCCAAAACACAAAGTGATTTCTTTTCTTTGTAACAAAAGATACTAAGAAAGAGAACAAAATATCCAAGCACAATTCAGATTAGGGGTTCTAACTAATACTAGATTCTCTCCTAGGACTTTCCTTAAAAACCAGGTTTTAGCGGCTCTCCTAAAACAGAACAGTCCGATCTTGGGTGGAAAAAGGAGTGCTTCCGACAAGAAGGCTCCAAGAGCTTGTAATCAAAAGGCACTGTGCAAATATCCTATTTTTTTCCCTTTACAAATATTTTTCTGGAAAGATAAAAGATGGAAGAAACAATGGCAAAACACAAGAGGGTTATTAGAGGAGACAGTCTCCAGGATTTCTCATAAAATTCCATGAGTGAGGCAAGATAATTGCAAGGTAAAAATCTCATCCAAAATGATCAGTAGTTCCGTGGTCAAAAACATTATCCTTCAGCATGACTGTCTTTATAGATGCTTCACCCTTTTTGTACTGTTGCTGATGCTGATACAGTACTTTCTGATATGTTTTAATGTTCTAGAATGTTTAAGCATTTAAATGGGTTACAGGTGGAAAGAAAGTCGATAATTTAACATTCCTTTTATCAAGAGCTCTTCCTCCTCACCATAAGGCCTATAAAAACATTATTATTCTTGTGAGCACATACTATTCTTTTTCTTGTCTCAGCACTCATATCCTGGTAATTTAATGTTAGCGTCCACTTCCTTGTTAAAACAGGGCTTTGGTTATTGTGGTTTCAGTGCACATTTCCTCAGTTGTGTCTTGGGTAAAATGATTTGCAGTCACTGAATGACTGCAATCTTGCAGTTCTAGCATGGGCTGAAATAAATTGTCAGTGGTCTGGGATCTCTCCCAAATAACCTATTTTCTCTTTTTAGTGCTTGAATTATTCCAATATCTGTGGCTGTTTTTATCACTATACTGAAAAATATGCCTTTGTTGCAAACCTCAAAGCCTTCTTTGTATTTAGGTAGATTGCTTTGTGAATAAATACAGGTGATGTGTTTCATAGTGTAATTTTTTTTTCCTAGGTGGAAGTATACTTTGTATACTAAGTTAAAGAGTAGAAACCCTTTTTCTAGAGGTCAATTGCAGCACTCCTCCACTCTTTTAATGTACTCATGAATCATTGTGTTCCTCTGTTCTCTTCTGTCATACATATATGTGACTTCCTTCCATTATAGCTGTAGTTCCCATATTGTGTAATCCTGCTACATCACATTGGTGTCAGTGTCCCTGTTTTATTATCTTCATATTCAATACAAATAAATAATCCCAATTCTTTATTCGTTTGATCTGATTTATATCCCAACTTTCTGTCCAAGCAGGCCTATTAAAGGGGCTAACAATAACCTAGAATTTTAAAAAAGGCAGTTTTGTTCTACCTGGAGAATGAAAGTTGTGTGTTATCATTCTGTATAGTCCTTTAAAACTATGTTTCCTGAGAATGACTTGGGATCTTCAACCACTTACTAGCACAAGTGACAAAGCAACTGCATAAGAACAGAGGAAGCTGCTTTCCCTTATACCAAGTCAAGCTGTCTATCCTGCCTGGTATTGTCTACTCTGACAGTGGTTTTCCAGGTGCTCAGACACAGGTGTTTCCCATCATCAGCTACCTGAGTTTTTTTAACTGGAGGTGCCAAGGATTGGACCAGGAATTATCAGCATGCAAGCCATGTGCTTACTATAGCTCCAGAGCAATTAATCTTTGATTTACATCTCAGTTCTGCAGCTACTTTAAGGTATTTTGTTGTATGGACCAGGAAGCCCAGTTTATACTCCTCTACCTTTCCTACAACCTGACCCCGCTTTCCTATAACCTGTGAAACACATCTAAGCTGATGACAAATGTATAAATAGTTGGTTTATATTTCTGACAAACGTATCTGACAGTAGTTGAACATAAAGTCAAAGAATATTTCATGGACTTGAATTTGATACTGTTTCATATAAGCTCTGACAACATCGTTTTTCTGCCCTAGTCATGTTGTGAATAGCCAACTTGCATTCACAATACAGTACTGTACCCTCCCTGCCAGTCTAAATGCAAGAGTGTATCTAAGTTTGAATACACATGTCTTCTGAGGCATGGGCTTAAGCATGTATACTCAGGAGATTCCCCCAGCCTCTCACTCTAACAGAGAAAATGTGATGTTCTTTAAAAATTAAAAGCAGAATTCCACACAAATGGAGCAAAAGGTTCCTGTGCCTGAGCTGGGAAAAGATGAGCACATGTGTGTGTGTTCAACCTCTCCCCAATCACTCTGGTTAGAATTACTCCAAGAGACTTGGAAGGTCCAGGAAAAGAAGCAGAGAATTTTGCTTTGAAGTTCAGGCTGTCTCTAAGAAATCAGTAAATATTTTAGACAGAAATATTAAATGCATTAAATTTTAAATTGTTTGCTGTATGTGCAGAAGTCTAATATTCTTTATATCTCTGTCTAAACTCAGTAATTGTATTCTTTATGACAGCCTGGAATGATACATCAGACATGTTCCAGAATATCTTAGTATTTCCCTTTTTAAAATAATAATAATAATAATAATAATAATAATAATAATAATAAAAAAAATACAAAGAAGGAGAAGGAGAAGAATGGCATCTTGTGATCAGTATGGTGCATTACATTGTCAGTTGACTTTTCACCAAACCAGATCCAACTTCTTAAACAATGAAGGTTTGCATTTTTTATTTTAAAAAGGATTCTTACTGTTTATAAAAATACAGTTTTGTTTTTGTTCATCTCTTCTGAAATTAGTCTGTCTCCCCAAGTGGGGAAGAAAGGGTTGAAACCTCTAGTCGCATGTCTTTACGCTACAAGACAAGGAATTTGCATTACAGGAAATGTTTCATTTTTTCTTTTTATTGCCAGCAATGTAATATGGGTGGTCAGGGCCCTTTTTATTATGGGGAAGGTCACCAGGTGAGATACTCCCTGAAAGATATGTTGTAGCAGCAGCAGGAACTACCAAGCACCTACTCATAATAAGGAGATGGGGCCAGGGTATGTAGAACCAATGGGCTTATGCAAGAAGAGATTTCCAGCTTTTTATCCTACAGGCTCAGGTGTGCTGGTACAGCCCATGACATTACCTTCATCTCATCCCCAGCCCATGAATGAGACAAGCATAAGTCCTCAACTCTATCAGTGTTAAAGTGGTATTTCTCCCCTTATTCCAACAATGCTCAGGGTGCGCAATATCTGTTTATGACTTTGCCACCCAGTATCTTGGAGAAATGGCTTCAGCCTGCCTTAGCAGCAAGCTGGCCTTCAGATGGAGGCTGTAGTGTCCTCAAATGACATGTCCTCAACCAGTGGTAAGCAGGGAGACTCAGAACTGGGCTGTGTGGATGAGCCCAATGTTACAAAGGAATGATAAAAGGCTTAAATAAGGTGTTAGCAAGTTAGCAACAAGCTCCCTGCATCTTCATATACTGTTATAGGTTTTACTCAGTATGACTACACATGATCCCTTCCTGAATTTTTGATCTTTGTGAACTTTCTAAATAGGTGGCCCAGGCCACTGCCAGTTAATGATAGTGACAGTTTGATGTTTGTTTCAACCAAGTGCTGGCTGGCCAAAGAAGGTATATAGGCATATAGGTCTGTGAAACAGCATTTGCCCTTTTGGATTTTCTGAATTTTTGCATATCTTTGCCATTGAATGTTTTTGGATCCTGCTGATAAAGGTAGTCTGAGTTTGGTGCTTGTTTCATTCATATGATTAACAAAATCATCTGACATATAATGTGCCTGTGTAATTGCCCCCTAAATTCATTAACTGGTTGCACCTTTGCTGCAATAGCTGTAACCACATGATTCCCGTAACTGGTGATCAATTTCTCACATCACTATATAGCAATTTTGGCACATTCTTCTACACTGCACTGCTTCAATTAAGTAACACTTGAAAGTTTTCTATCATGAATTGCATATTTCATGCACTGCCACACTTTTGATGCAGTTTAAGTCTGGATTGAGTTCTCCATTCCAAATCACTGAATTTGTTCTTCATTCATTCTTTTATGGACTAGTTTGTATTTTTGGGCATTATTTGTTTTTCTGCATGACCTATTTCTGCTTTAGCTGATGGACATGTGGCTGATATTCTTCAGTAGAATTCTCCGATTCTACACAGAATGTGTGCTTCCTTCCTTCAGGTTGTCCAGGTTCTGAAGCAGCAGAGCACCCCCAAACCATGACATTACCACCTCCATGCTTGACCAGCTGGCATGAGCTTATTGTGGAATGCAGTATTTGGTTGCTACCAGATTTAACAACACCCCATAGCCCACAATATTCCATTTTTGACTGGAATTTTGGCCCCAGTGCTTTTTGGCAAACTTGAAATTAGTATCAGTAGTGATCCTTGCTACTTTCCCATGAACCCCTTTTGTATCTAGTGCTTTTATGATTTTGGAATCTTGAACACTGATTTTCTCATGATGAGAGATGCCTGCAGATCTTTTGATGATGTTCTAAGGAAGTCATCCTGGATGCATTTATGCTGTGCTTTTGGGAGTGATTTTGACAGGGTGGCCACTCTTTGGAACTTTACTGTTGTCACAAATCTTCCCTATTTCAAGACTACTGTATGTTTGATTGTGCATTGGTGGAACCACAAAGTTTTAGAAATGGTTTTGTAACATTTTGTTAAACTGATAGGCATTATTTACTTTTTTACAGAAGTCTTCAGAAATTTATTTTGAGTGGAGTTTGAATATGTCTCTAGAATCTGTATGGTGAATATTTCACTATGATGAAGGCAATCAACACTTTTGATATATATAAAAGGCAAGGCTGGCTCAGCCTTGAATGTTTAATGAAGTATTCACAGAATTGTTTTAATTCTGGAAAGAGATTAGGAAGACGGCCATGTAAGACTGGTTAGAATTTAATTAGAAAGAGTTAAAACTACTTGGTTCTTAGATCCAAAATGAATTAGCCTTCTAGCACTGATAGATGTACATACAATGATAGCATAGATCTAGCACAGCACATAACCAGCTTCCCCAAATCAGTTTTTTCTAATGTGTTGGGCTATAAGTCTCATTGTCAACCAGCAGACCAGTAGCCATGCTTTCTTGGGATGGCTGATGTAATGATTTAACACCACTGGGGAGCCCTGTGTTAAGGAAGCCTGCTATATAAAATTGGTAAAAGGAAGGAGAACCCCTATGTAGAAACAACTCATGTAAAAGTTGATAGGGTGGCTAATCTCATGACAAAAGTCACCTTACAGGATATCTAATTACAACTTTTTCTTCCACTCTGTCATAAAAACTGACCTCTCTGAGGTTTACTTGTGATCCTTTCTTGGTTTCTTCTCTCAAGAAAATCTGTTTGTGTTTGGAGATGGAGACACTCTTATAATACTCCACAAGTTTGTTTAGTGACTGAAACTTCTCACTCCATAGAAAATAATTGCCCTTTGTGTCCTTCATCACTTTGAAATGCTGGACATCCTCTTCATGCCTGGGTACCAATGGAGAATACAAAACATTTGGCAATCCAATCATCTAATTTTAAAGTAGCATTATCATATTTGTACTCTGTATTAACATTCATAAATTGGTGTCCTTTAGATGAAAAGCATTATTTGAATTATTTGTGAAAATACTAATACTTATTATTCTATATCATTCTTCATAAATGGTTCATGGTGGTTTACATTTAAATGTTTTAAATACAGTACATATATTAAAGTTAATGCAACTCATATTAAAACATATTAAATAGTTTAATATCTTAAACAATTAAAATTATTGAAAGCCAGACTGAAAAGATGGGTTTGTAGACCCCTGATATCTACAGGCAGTGTGTTCCACAATCTGGGGATGATGGCTGGGAAGGTCTAGTCTCAAGTCACCATCAGAGAAGCTATTGGCACTGGAGATGGGTTAATGAGTGATGAGTATCATATAAAAGAAAGGCATTTTCTCAGGTAACTGAGGCTTAAGCTATTTAGGATTTTAAAGGTAAGAGCCAGCATTTCAGTTGGTGTGGGGTGGGGAGGAGAGATCTGCTCAGAAGTCTCTACTTTGTTAAGAGCCTCATGGCTCTCTACTCTCTCCACTCCTCTTTACCATCTCTATGAAACCACTGGGGGAAGTCATCCATCAGCATGAGGTCTGCTATCACACTGATGATACCCAATTATACATCTTGCCCCAGGGCCAAACAAATATATAAGTGCCTGGAGGCTATCATGGTTTGGATAGGGAGGAAAGGACTGACTGAATTCCTCCGATGGAGTAGCTTTGGGTTTATAGACCTAACAATTCCAAGGAAATACCATCTTTGACTTTGAATGAAGTTGAATGGAGTTGTGTTCAGAGGTGATTCACAATTTGGGTGTTCTCTTGAACTCATGGCTCCTGCTTAATGAGCAGGTGGCAGTTGTGGCTAGCACAGCTTTTGCACATCTACACTAACTGTGGCCAGCCTTTAGGTTCTTACTCATGCCTTAATCACTTCCCACTTGTGTTACGGTAATGAGCTTTACATAGGGCTGCCTTTGAAAAGCATTCAGAAGCTGCTGTTGGTACAAAATTAGGTATGTTTGCTGCCTTGAGTTATTTATATATAAAAAAAAAAGGGATAATTTTTTTTAAAAAAATGCAGCAGTGTGTGCAGTAATGGGTATATCCTGATACACTTGGGTAACCCCACTATTTTAAGAGCTCCATTGCTTGCTGGTTGGCTTCTAGGTGTGACTCAAGGGGCTAATTATCACCTTTAAGGCTCTACATAGCTCTGGACTCTTATCTGTGGGACTACCTCCTCCTATATTCATCTGCCCATCTGATCAGATCAAAAAGGGCTAACTCCCTCCAGGTCTCATGTTTAGAAGATTGTCATTTGATGGGGTCTTGAAAGCAGACATTTTAGACTGCTACCCCCATTCTTTGGAATCTTTGCCTTAGAGATCTGGTCTGCTCCTTTCTTCCTAGGCTTCAGGACAGCAGCCAAGGTCTGATTGTTCAGTCTAGTGCAGGATGAGGGTATGTTGTGAGTGAAGGTTGGAGCCCAGCAGATGCACAACCCTGCATTTTTGTTAAATTATGTTTATATTTGGGGGCTTTACTCATTATTTTTGTGGGGGCTTTATTCTTTATTTTGGTCTACCAGATAAGACACTGGAGACCCAAGTTCTAGTCTGCCTTAGGCACAAAGCCAGCTGGGTGATCTTGGGCCAATCATTCTCTCTCAGCCCTAGGAAGCAGGCCATGGCAAACTACTTCCAAAAATGTTGCCTAGAAAACTGCAGTGAATATATGATTTGATCATCCATTCCATTCTCCCAATTAAATCATACACAAGACAAATTACTTGGATAAGATTATCACATTTGGACCACAGAAATCTAGATGACCACTAGATGGCAGAAAAGAATTAGACTCTGAAAGAATTAGAATTTCTCAGTTGCCATTTTGTGGTCATCTGGATTTTTGCAGCTGAGATACAGTAGCCCTATACTTGTGGTGTTTCCAGGTGAGGCTTTTATTACTTGACTTTGTAATAATAGTAAGATGGATTTTGTTTTTGTCTTTTTTAACTATGATTTATGGAAAAAGTTATACTGGCTTGAGTTTCATGCAGCTTTAAGCCAGAATGCGTAGGTTCAAACATCACATTAAGTCAAAATAAACTACACTGTAAAATACTCATATTCTTTTACACTTGAAAGCAATATCCCCTTGTTCCTCTGTATTTTATCTTTACACAAGGAAAATCTGTTATGGAAGGAAAAAGAATAGCTTCACAATACTTTTGATTGTGTCTGGGAGCATTTGAAAGACTTAAAACATAGTTCATGGAAAGAGTTCTGCCTGAAACCCTGGAACATCCCACAAGTTTATGAAACCATGATGATAGCTTCTTCCGTTTTGTTGCTCCTTTGTACATTTTCTTTGCAACTGGACACCTGGCATAGCAGACAAAACCACAGCTTTCAGCCACCCAAAAAATAATCCAATCAAGCATCTGCTTGAATATGTAATTACTGGGCAATATTTGCTTGATGCAAAGCACCTCAATTCTCTCAAATTTTCCTTCTTGTGCCTGTCAGCTGTTCCAGTCTGAAATAGGTGTAGGTAATTTCCACCTCACTGGTTTCACGAAGTGAGGGAGGAATCTGTTTTAGCAAGATCTACCAAGTTGACATAATAGGGCTACTATCTTTGGGCTGCAAAAATCTGGAAGATCACTAGATGGGAGCAAAGATCTCTTCACAGTCATCTGGTGGTGGTCTGCATTTTTGAAGCCCAGATATGATAGCCATAGAAATAAGCACTGTGATCATGTATAAATCCAAGTTACTGACATTACTGTATTGTCATTCTTAAATTAAGCACTCAGCAGTTTTGACTTACAAAGAAATTACTTTCTGTCATCTTCAAAGGCTTAGTCTAGATAATGGCTTTTTATTCCTCTATAGGGTTAATAATTTACCAAATCTAGGATGTTTGTGATACCATTACTCAAGTTTTGTGAATGGTCACTGTGAATAATAATAATGATGAGGATGAGGATGTGTGCGCCTTCAGGTCAGTTTTTTAGTCCTGGGGACTGCCTGGACTAGTCCCTGCAGTTTTCTTGGCAAGGTTTTTCAGAAGTGGTTTGCCATTGCCTGTTTCCTACGACTGAGAGAAAGTGACTGGCCCAGGGTCACCCAGCTGGTTTCATGCCTAAGGCAGGACTAGAACTATGGTCTCCCGGTTTCTAGCCTGATGCCATAACCATTACACCAAAATGGCTCTCGTGAATTATTTTACATGCAATTTAATGTTAATTTTCCTAGTCTGTGTTTAATCTCCACCTAAAAATTCCATCCTGCCTCTGGCAAGTTAGAGAATAGGTATCTGCCAATACAGGATGTTTCATGCATTAGAGGAATTAAAGTTAAGTCATAATACATTTGTTTAATATATTAAACAGGATTCTTTGTTACTTTGGCTAAAATAGATTAATGCAGGTAAATTCCTGGAAAGGTTTAGTTTTAAAGTATTTGTAACAGCTGCTACTTTTTGTTTGTTTTGAAGTGTTTTCTGATTTAGGACTGTTTTGTGTCTGCTTTTAGAAGTCTTTAAAATCATATATACGTTTACCTAAGGGAAGCCCCACTGAGTGATTTACTTCTCAGTAAGTAATGCATAGTATTAAGTACTTATTCCTCAGTTAACAATGTACTGGATTTTATTGGTGGATTTTTTATAATATGAGAAACCAGCCTTTTCCAACCTGGAGTTTTAACATATTTACAAGAGCTGGATTGGAAAAAACTGTTATGGGCCATCCAGAGGCTCCTATGGTGGTAGGGAACACATTTTGAAATAAACAAACCACTCTTGCACACACAGAACAAAACACTACTTTAAGATACCTATCGCATAAAGCCCCCTGCCTCCCAACATCCATCTTTCTTAAATGAGAGAAAGGAAGAAGGAAGCAAATCACTGTTACCTGACAGAGATAGAGAAGTCTCCTGGGGAGTTCTGACTAGCTCGGACTATGAAAGCACCAACTCCTTTATCCCTGAGCATCGTCTCAGCCATGTGGCGGGATACTTTCTCTTGGAACCAGCTGTCAAAGGCAACAAATCGTAGGTGATGATAATGGAAAATTTGAGAGAGAGTAAGCCTGATTTAAAAAGTATACAAGGGTAGGAAATGCTTCAAAATTTATTCTGAAACAACACAATCATCATCATCACAATCACCATCACCATCATCATCATCATCATCTCCTTCTAGCCTCTATAGATAACCTGTGTTTAAAAGATGTTATGGAAGAGGAACAAGTTTTACCAGACAAGACTGAGATTGATCTGAAAGTAGATTTAAAAACGACAGGCTTCAAGAATGATATGGAAAAAGATGCTACACTGGGCATACAAAAGAAGCTGGCTGATGTCTTAATAATTAAAAGGGATATACAAATAACAAGCCAAGAGAGTGATCTGGATGATCCAATCCTATACTGGATTTACAAAAGAGGCTCGTTAAAGCTTCGAAGAATTTTGTGAGAAGGGACAAAGAAAAAATGAAAAGAAATCAAGGTCTAGGAGATTATTTGAAGGAACTAAAGATCAAGATGGTTAAAAGTAAAAGGAAGGAATATAAAGTTGGTTTTATTTGATCAAGGTTAAAATAATTATGTTGTTATCTCTGGTAACCCTTAATGGACTTTTGCTGACCAGGACTGATATGATGAGGTTTTTAAGGATTTGGTTATAGATAAGAAATGGGATATGGGAAGAGATCATTTGTTATATTTTAAGAGAAGGTGATAAGTTACTAAAATTGTTTATACTTTTGATGAAGGGGGAAGTTATA